AAGACCTCATCTATCTGAGGTCGATTATAAGTTTTTGATAGCTCGAGAGCCATTCGCAGGATATTTATTCTCCACTTCGCCAAATATTTATTCCTGACTTCGCGAGATGCCTATTCATCGCCTCTCACTATCATTGAAGCCTAGCTATAAGACCTCGTCACTCCTGGGCTAGTTTATAAGACTCCATAGTTAGAGACTACTTGCAGGATGTTTATTTTCTGCTTCACCAGATGCTTATTCCTGATTTCGCGAGATGTTTATTTATCGCTTCTCATTATCGTCTAAGCCTAGCTACAAGATCTCGTATATTCAATGTTAGCTTATAAGACTTCAATAGTTCAAGATGTTCTATCAACTCAATATGCATTCCTCGCTTTCCGAGATACTTCACCATATGGACTATTACATCACAACTACATCTATTTTCAGAGATCTCATCATACTTCTGCATCGACTTCATTACAGCTACCTATCTTTTAGAGTTTTGCTTTTGCTTCAGCCATTTTACATCTATTTATCTTCAGAGAGCTTATATTATCACATACTTGGATGAACCATCCACCATGTAGGAAGTCCTTAACTCCAAAATTAACTTCACTACTCTTATGAACTCAATCTTCACTTGAACTACATTTCCGTCGCTCAAGCTCACTTCTTTCTCACTTAGCCTCCATTTGCTTGTGAACCACTGTAAGGAATTCACAATATGAATACTAGCTCCCGAGTCTAACCATTAAGAATTCAAAGGTACATCTACTAAAGAAGACTTAACAAACGAAGGCCAAGAAAATACCTATAGAATCTTCTTCCTTTCCAACCAAGTTTTAAACTTAAAATAGTCTTTTTACCAATTACCCTTCCTTGTATAGAACTTCATTGATCACTTTTCTTTATAATTCTTTTAGGACCACTAAAAGTCTGACCCCCAAAATTTTTATTTTGCTGATTTTGGTGTGACTTATTTCCTTATGGAACTTAGACTTATAATTATGAGAAGACCCCATGTTCTGTGATGGTTGAAAAGCTAATTGCGCAGTTTTTACACTTTTACAGCACATCATACACTCCTTTTGGGCACACACTGTAATAAGGTCATTCAAATCCCATTTATCCTATTAAGCATTGCAGGCGACCTTAAGCTAGTTAAGCTATTTAAAACATAATAGACCTAAAAAGGCCCTGTAATGGAAATGTTAACGCTTTTAGCTTAGATGATATATTTATCATCTTTATAACATGTTCCCTAACACAACTTGTACATCATATCTCATATTCATTAGTTTATCCATCAAATCCCCAATTTCGAGTTTATCAATCTCAATAAATTCCTCTATTATGGCATTTCCATTATCTGGGATAGTACCCGTAATGGATTGGATATAGAGTACTTATTTATTTTTGAATAAAGTTTGTTGGTACTTTCTCACTTTTCATACTTGACTACATATTTAACAGTGCTCTTATCTTTGAGTTTCTCAAACTTTTTCTCCATTGCAAAATCTAAGCCCAAAAGATCAAGTGTTATTTCTACGTCTCGTTTCTATCTCACATAATAATTCTCGGTCAAGGTTTCACTAGTAGACAAATGGACTCGAAAGAGATGCGGCATTATAAACTGTGGAAACATAAAGTATCACACTCATATCATCGAAACACGATGCATGTAGTCAAATGGATGATAAAATATCCAACTAATTAACATGAGCTATTAATTAGATAATCCGTAATTAATATCAAAAGCATATGAATCTTATTATGGTGAGAGCCTAGATCGATCATCATATAGTCACCGTTGGGCTAACAATATAACATGCTATAAGATACTCTTAAAACACATCATATAGCTAGTTAACATAATTATATTGCTTTTCGAAATATCAACACCATTGGGCAGAAGGAGATTTCTAAACCAAGGTAAACTCGTTAACTGCCTTATACTATTTTCCAAAATATCACATTTAATAACGCCTTTGGGGAAGATATTATATATAACAAATCAAAACTGTTGCACAAAAAAATATTATTTTTTTGTAGAGAAAATCAAATAAATAACAATGAGTATGCCACTTTAGTAGCTACCACCCATTTTTATTTCAAAATATTTCTCTTAATAGGAAAATAAGGATCGTCTCAAAACTTATGAAAAATTCAATCACAGAACAATAATAATGTAACAAATCATAATCGTCAATCGATGAAAGACAAAAATTCATATGTGATTGAGAGACGAAATTGACAACATTTCAATATATATGAAAAATTAAATTTAAGCGCACAAAAATAACAACATTTAAATATGTGAACATTGTAACGAGAATATAACAATCGTCAATCAATTATTTTTTTATCCAATTATTTTGATACAATTTTAAACGGACCAATTTTAAATAAAATTTTAATTGTGGTCAAAATTGAAATTTTAGGATCAAAGCCTTTAAAATCCAATTTAAAACCCCTTTTTCATATTCAAATTAAAAACCCATTTAAAAATTTGCAACATGACCCCTGGTTTAAATTACAAGATAACTCCCTTCTATTTGATTGCATGTGGGGTCCCAAAGTATTACTATTTACAAAATAGGCCCCTAATAGATTGTTGCAAACCGGGACTTGAAACTAAGATATTTACAACTGGAGCCCCCATCTTCATCACCTAAAAATAGACCGAAACCTGCAATTTTTTTTGTTTCATCCCCTACCAATGCCTAGACTTGGCTACTGCGGCTGGAAGTCACCGCGTCATAGTGACTACTTCCCACCGCCTGTATCCATGTGAGATATAACGACGCTTCACATGGTAGATTACATGCACCGACACCGCTGCTTTTTCGTTCCACCCATGGTGACAGGTATCGTCGATCTTGCTATGCATCAACAGTAGTGGATTTTGCTATTGGCCAGCTAGGGCGACCATCCTAGCTGGCTTCACCAGAACCGCCGACCGTCAGGAGTGGTTTGTTTTCTAATTTAGTTGGTTGTTGGGTTGCTATTGCAGTCTCATATTTCAGATTTTGTGTTGGGAGTGGTTTGTTTTCTAATTTAGTTGGTTGTTGGGTTGCTATTGCAGTCTCATATTTCAGATTTTGTGTTGGGAGTCTATTATTTTTTAAAAATCAGGCCTAAATTAAAAAAGCCCAAATGAGCATTCTCCATATAACGCATAACCATATTCTTCCCCAAAAATTAGTCCACTACCGCTGAAAGAGGGCAGATCCCAGACAGCAGAGGACCAGCAACCAGCAAGCTTTCCTTTCCCGAATCAGTCCCATTTTCGGTCCCTTTCCCATCAAAATCGGTAGCCAGGGCCTACAGAGATCAGAGAAGACCCTTTGTGAGTTCTTTCCTAATTCCTTCTTGGCTTCTCATTATTTACATGTAACTGATGCAAGTAAATTCTTAGCTTAGCCAAACATGCATGACTAAAGCTTTCGATAAAAAAGTGAATGAACTTGGTTATATTCTGTTAAAAATTAGTGAAATAATCTCTTTTTTAGGTTTCTAATTGTGACCAAGTTTGGTTCAAAAATCTTTTGTTAATTATTGAATTTTCATAGTCTATATTCTCAATTGAATGGCAATGGTTTTGGTTTGCTTTTACAAATCGAATTTAGACTATTTTACAGAATTTCACTATCTCGTATTAAGATGGCCAAAAAATTGGTAGTCTTTCATTTGTGTCGTATCTAATAATTTTGTTGCTTCTAATACTTCAAGCATTTATTTATTTATTTTTGACTTGTTTGAATATTCAAATTGACATGGATGGCCAACCTACCAACTATAGATGTAGCAGCCTTAACTAATTTTTTAGTGTTTGATTTTTCTAATACACAGCTCTCTAACTCTTGGGGATTTTTTTGTTGAATTTTTGATTTTTTTTAATCAATTGTAATTGAAAATTAAATTGGGGCATTTTTCAGATTATGAAACGATTTTTTCAATTGAAACGAAAGTCTATACCTAGTTCTCCTAGTTCTAGTTGTGCTTCTAGTCCCACCGCTGTTTCTAGCTAAGCACTCGAGATGTTAAAAAACACAAAGAAGTCTCGGGCTCAATTCAATGTGGATGATCTTGTATCTGATCCAGGAAAATGCCCCCTATCGAATCATATGATCCTAATATTAGAGATGATGTTAAGATGGCATATTTTGAAAAATTTCCTTGTCAACCACATGGACTTGACTTTCCAAGAAGACGGATAGGAAATGATAATAAATGTTTTCGAAAAGAATGGTTTTCTGAATTTTATTGGTTGGACTACAGTATAGAAAATGACGCGACTTATTGTTTGCATTGCTACTTGTTCAAACCTGACAGAGGGGATCAAGGGAGTGGACATATATTCACTAAGATCGGCTTTAGGGATTGAAAGCACAAAAATACATTGAAAGAACATGTCGGGCTCGTTGATAGTGCTCATAATCAAGCTTTTGTAAAGTGTACCAATTCGATGAATCAAAAGCGAAGTATCTTCTATGTTATTTTTAGCCAAAGTAGTAGTCAACAAAAAAATTATAGTACAAGTTTGACTGCGGTGCTAGACTATACTAGATTCCTCTTGATGCAAGAATTGCCATCTCGTGATCATGATGAATCGAAAGAGTCTCTTAATAAATGAAATCAAATGGAGCTACTAAATTGCTATGCAGCTTGTTGTAAGAAAATTAATGAAGTACTATTTAATAATACTCCTGGAAATGACTTCGCAAAGCATCCATAAGGATTTGGTTAATTGTTGTACTGGAGAGACGACAAGGTCTATAATCAATGAGATGGGTGATTCTTTGTTTTCAATTTTGGTTGATGAATCTCGTGATAAATCTATAAAAGAATAAATGGCAGTTGTGTTGAGATTTGTTGACAAAAGTGGGAAAGTGAAGGAGCGTTTGTTGGGCATTTCCCACATCGCTGATACTTGTGCCCAGTCACTCAAAGAAGTCATCGATGCAATGTTTTTACACATGGGTTGAGCATATCTAGCCTAAGAAGTCAAGGTTACAATGGAGAAAGCAATATGTCAGGTGAGTTCAATGGCTTAAAAGCTTTAATTTTAAGAGAAACCCCATGTGCTGTGTATGTTCATTGCTTTGCTCACCAACTTCAGTTGGCAGTTGTTTCTGTGGCACATAAGAATGTTATGCTTAGTGATTTATTTAACATGCTTGTTACTATTGTGAATTTGGTTGGTGCATCATGTAAACATGTAGATACTTTTCGAACAAGTTATCATTTTGAAATTCTGGAGAGGCTTAATATTGAGAAACTTTTTGGTAGAACTGGTCAGTTTCAAGAAATGACTTTGGCACGCCTAGGTGATACTAAAGACAATTACTCACTTTATTAATATGCTTAATGCGATCATAGATGTTCTTGAGAATATATCAGAAGACGACATAAGTTTAGAGCAAAAATCAATGGACGTAAGACAGATGGACACAATGCAAGATTTTCAATTTGTGTTCAGTCTTTATTTTATGTTTGAAATTCTTGCAATTACAGACGATTTTTCACAAGCCTTCCAGAAAAAGCATCAGGATATTCAGAATGCTATGAGGTTATTGAAGTTGTATAAGTACACATTGCAGAACATGAGAGACAATGGTTGGTTTACTTTGTTGAGTAAGATAATTGAGTTTTGTGTTGATAGACATATTTCAATGACCAATATGGATGATATTGTAGTATTGAAAGGTCGACCTAGGGGTTTAACTCAGCAGGTGACTTATTATCATCGCTTTTATGTTGATTTATATTGTTATGTGATAGATTCAATCTTGCAAGAGTTGAATGATCATTTAATCAAGAATGATCTGCGCAACAAAATGGGAGATGAATTGTTGAATGACAATTTGGTGATTTACGTGGAGAAAGATCTTTTCATTAAACTTGAGAATGAGGCAATATTGCAACGTTATCAAAATATGAGGCCTTGAAGAATTCAATTGTCGAAGTTTAAAATTACAGATTAAGGTTGTATTGTATTTTTTTTAGCATTTTGGATTGTATTGAACTATATTTTCATATGTATAAAATTTCTACATTTTAGTGCATTCACATATATATTGAATATTTTTTAATATTATTTAGTCAAACAAATTTTAATAAACGATTGGCCGCCGATCGGATCAGGTTTTTATGATCGTTGATTGTCGACGATCAACAGTCAAAGTCAACCTCCGCCCTAGCTGAACATTGATGCTATATTCGCCACTGGGGCACCAACCCCATTACTAATTTTCCCTTCCTCTTTCAACAAATCAATTCTCAATCTCGAAACACTAAGAAAAATATGCAAACATAGAAAAATTACATATGAGCAAGTAATATATGTGGTCATTTTAGACCTTGCCATGGTCAACCAAAAAAAGCAAATCAAGATGGTAGTGGTGGTGGTAGGAGGAGGCAAACTGATAGAGAACAGAGAGCTGGGTTCGCAGATTTTTGGTGCTGGAAACGGGTGTTTGCACTTGGGATTTTGGATTTCTTTACACATATTTATTTAATGAATGTATATTGCATAGAACACGTGAAAATATTAATGCAAGGTCAACCCCCCTCCCCTTCCCCCTGCCTCCATTTTTATTTTATTTTAAAACTTTGAAAACTTAACAATTTCAAAGACTTGAATTAACAAGTGTGGATTTAGAATTATCCAGCCAGAGAGAAAATATTTCTTTAATGATGGATTCTGATGTTAGCATTAAGCTCTGTTACTAAGTTGGATTTAACGATAAGCATGCTAAGAACAAGAATCACATAATAATAATTTAATAAATTGAATTCATACTTGCGGAAGCCATCGTTGAGATGAATAATAGCAACTCGATCTTCAGTTTCGTGCTCCTCACAAAGTATTACTCATCAATGGGCAGGCTAATAAAATAATATGAAGAGGAGAAGTGACCTAGCTATATAGGAAATTATCAAGCCGTCCAATTACGACTTAACCTTGAGACGTGGATCATCCAAGGCACATTAGCATGACGTACTCCTCCTGTGAGAGTTGGTTTTAACTGCCCTAACTATGGCAGAATATTTTCAAGATGTTAATGAACAAGACGACGCAATTATCTGGGGCGCGCTCTACCACTGAAGTAATAGTCCGTCGTGCAACTCATATACTTAAAATTACCACATCATATTAAATATAGCCCATAAGGTGTAAAAGATCCAATTGATCACTTAATAAATTTGGCCCAATCACAATATCATTATGAGCTATACATCTAACCCGTAAAATTTACTATCGAATGTGAAGCCCATAATTCCAACAGAACCGATCACTAGTGACAACAGTTGTGTGCAGTAAGGACAAATTTAATTCTAATTCTCAAATTTCATTTGGAGCTAGTTTATGTGCTATTATGGAAGATTCAAAATCATGTGGAACTAGATTGTACTCGTCTCTTTTCAGGATTCAAATCTTTTCTTCTGCTATAGTTTGCAAAGGGGAAAATGAACCTTGTTTTTTCTCTTGTGATTCTATTCTAGTAGTAATTGATGGTGAGTTAAACTCTCTCTCTCTCTCTCTCTCTCTCTCTCTCTCTCTCTCTCTCACACACACACACACATTAATCAACTGTTAAGGATTTGATTATTGAATGAATGAACATGAGAGATCTTGATTTAAAGATGTGAAACAAATCCTTCTGCATGAATTTGATGTGGTTCTTCAACAATCTTGCTCAGATGTTGGTTTGGTCGCAGGAATCAGGGTTGTTTGGAGATTATTATCCTAGGTCAGAACAAGTTGATAGGATCCCATTTTTTACGTCCCCATGTCCCCCGTGTGGCGACTTATGGAATTGTTGATCTTGTAGCAGTTGAATGAAAATAAGATGGATTTTCTAAAAATCACCTTTGTTGCATGATCTCTTCTCCATATGGATAGATATAAGATCTATGGATTAATTGCTTGATGTGATTTTAATAATATACAAGTGGATAGAAAATAATTTAAAGGATCATTGCCTTTATTTAGAATTTAGAAGTCATCACTTTTATTAAAGTCAAGATAAACTTTTCACTTAACATCAGACAGATAATAAGTATTCTGCAGTCCCCTCATAAAAGGGGGCCTGCGATTTTTTTATTGGGCGTCGACCGTCTTATTATGAGGGGGTTATGCACTAGACTATACCACTTCAATGTACAAATAGTAAAACGCCAAGTATATTGTTTAAAGCACTATATTTCTACCTATATTTTGCAAAATGAGGATTTGATCACTTCATCAACTTTTAAACTCATTGATCCCTGGAAATGTGCAAGTGCATGAATGGTACCTTGAATTATGTAGTGCGTCAAAAAATTTATATTAATATTCACGGGGCTGAACCCCTCAACACACCATAATGCTAGGTTCGTTCTGATTTTATGGGGTTTTACTTCTGGGCCCGTGAACCTTTTTGGATATCAAAATGGGCCAATGGACTAGTGAGTGTACGACAAATAATTAAGACAACATTACCGGGAAACAATGGTTTGAGATTACATTATCATAAATAAAGTTATTACTAATTTTATTCAAAAATCAGGTGTTAATTATACTTTTAGTTATATAAAAATATATGTTAATTTTGTTAAAATTATATTTTCAAATGAGATGGTTTAGTAATTAACTTGAATTTGCAGGTTTAAAAAAAAAAGGAAAAAAAACGTGGAAAACCCACCCAGCCAAATAGATATACACAATTTCATCTCTCTCTCTCTCTCTCTCTCTCTCTCTCTCTCTCTCTCTCTCTATATATATATATATATATATATATATATATATATATATATATATAAACAGCGATGTTTCGAATACTCTCTAGTCGAAGTAATACAAAGATTCTATTGCATGTATATATATATATATATATAGATATTTTTTNTATATATATATATATATAGCGATGTTTTGAATACTCTCTAGTCGAAGTGAAGTCGATTCATCATCTACTTTTTCCCATCCAGATTCGCCATAGGGGGTGCTCAAGTCTGGATTAAGAAATTAGTTGGCTTATTATTGGTTTTTTATTTTTTTTGGATTGAACAATAATTTGGGCCAGCCCTAATATTTTGGAGGCCTTATGCCAACTTTAAATTTGGGAACCTATTGAAGAAAAATTATCACATTTTTACTTGAACTTTCTTATAAAGAGTTCTAATATAATCATGAAGAATTTAATACAGATAACTAAGCACCAAAATTTGAAGAGGAAAATAGCAAAATGCTAAAATTCAACATGCAATATAAATTATGAGTGAAGTTTGATATATATTATTATAATACAATGGCAAATAGATCTGTTCATTTCTTTTATCATTTTCTCACTACAATTATTTAAAACAAAATTGAATATGCATTTGAGTGATTTATGTACAAAATTGAAGAACGTTGACTGCTAGAGATAATATAAAAAAATAATGAAATGATGTCAAAATACAAATGAGCTTCTAATTTTATATTAATTCATACTAAATTAACTAACAAATAGGAAGTATGAATACGGATAAAGAATTATTAAATTCAAAGTACATTTAACAAGCATATAAAAATGCTATTGGAGATTAAAGAAAAACATTAATAATGACAGCCTACAAACTCTGTAGTATTCGTTTTGAAAATAAAGAAGAAATTGAAAAACTTGTACGACTGTAATAATCCCAGTGATACCAAACCAATCTGTTAAATTGAATCTTCAAAATTTTAATTCAACGTGAGATAGTTTATTTCTTGTTGGATTGAAGAAAACTATGTTGGATTACTGTTGGACGTGAAATTTAAGAGATGAAAAGACTTTTTTGTTTGGTTAAGAAAAAAATTGATGTTTGGAAGATAAATGGTCAAATTACTTAGAGAGAGAGAGAGAGAGAGAGTAATGTTTACGACATATTTATATGATAAATAAATGTAAATGATAAGTTTTATACCATTTATATGTTTTTTTTCTAAAGATTTTTGTATTTCAATTTTTATTAGTTTCTTATATTTGCATGTTTATATTTCTAATTTCATAAATATAATTTTGTTTTTCTTCAACAATTAACTTACATAATTTGGAATCCTCACCAAAGTGAGGTTTTAGACGATCGTCTACCTCGCCGATAAGCAGAGCCACCACTGACTATAATTGGTAGATTGAATTACCATTTGACTATGTCTTTTTACATAGTAACGAACTTGAATTTATATTCCCTAATTTCTGTTAAAAGTTCAAGGAGAAGCTAGTGAAGAATGGTTCAAACTCTTGCACTGGACAGCAAAATGGAGCAACAAGATGTCGTTACCGTTGTTGGTGCAATGGCTACCGTTGTAAATGTAGCGAATTTTAGTGATAGTGGTAGGCATGAATTGTGGGGTGGGGGGAGCGGGTGTCGTAGCCTTGAATTGTGAGAGATGATAGGAATTCCCTATGAATAAATTTGAGTGAATTAATTATACGGAGATCAACATGAAATTAATTGTCTTTAGTGCTTGTTTGGTAGGGATTTTGATAATTGATTTTTTGACCGTTAGAGATAAAGTGAATCTTATCTGTGAGAGAGGAATTTAAAAATGACGGTTGGAATAATGAAATAACGGTCAAAAAAATGATTTTATATACCAAACAAGCTCTTAGTTTAGAAAAATTACATTTTACCTAATTTTTATGGCTATTATTTTTTTTTTACTATTTTGGGTTTGAATAAAATTGGTATAACTTTAAGATGATATCGGTGTTCTTTGGTGGTGACAATGGTGAAGAGAGATTGTGACTAACTATTGAGTAATTTTGGACCAATAAAACGAATAAATCGTCACCAATAAATATTGTAACCTAAAAATGTGTAATTTATAACTAGATTTGTATTTGTGACCTACGATTTGCTTCTTCGTAATTGATAAATAAGTTGTAGCATACAAAATTTGTGATAAAAAGTCTTGATCAATTAACTTGATAAATTA